TGCAATAACGTCTGGATTTGATACTTTTCTTCTAAGACTGTGTGAAGTGAGTATATGGGAATGCTCTCCAAGATAAAGAGGAAAGTGTCCGATCCAGTGCAGTTTATTAAGGATGCAAGGGAAGGCTTCAGGCAGGACAGTTCAGTAGTTACTGTTCTTTTATTTGGCATCTTTGCATGATTTTCCTGAGTTTTTTGCATGAGTTTCCTGATTTTTCCTCAAGTGCTGTGGCTTTGATGGCAAAAATTAATTTCCTAGGCTGCAGAAAGGAGTCCTTGGTGCCAAAAACCCCGAGTGACCTGTTACACCTTTGCAGCTGATGGCAGGCTGCCACTTTCCATGAGAGCAAAATGGTGCTGGCGTGTGAAACTGCACAATTCAATCCTTTTAGATGATGACCTCACACAAAGGAGTAAGCTGTCATTATAGGAAGAAAAATTGCTGTGGAAGAATGAATCTTGTGTTTAACAGAATGCGCTCTTTTAAAGGAAGGTTCTCTGCTGACTATTTTAAAACGCTTCTCTTTTCCTATATCCCCTGTCTGTTCCTTCTTGGCATCCAGGACCAGCCACTCTGGCTCTGCTCACAATCTCGCCATTGTTGGTGGATGAGCCCTCTCCTAAGGAGAAAATGTCATCTGAAAGGGCCGCCTTGTGCTCTTCTGCCTGATCAACTTCCCATTTGCTTTCAAATATCTGATCAAAACTTCTTCCCTCCTTTCCTTTTCCCTTTTAGTTGTGTTCTTCACTGTCATCAATGAAGCAATAATTTATATAATGAATCACTGAACTATTTTGAGATTCTGAATTTCAGAATTATTATGCCAAACTGTAATGGGCTGCCTGGTGATTTTTACAAACTTTAGCCTTCTGCCTCCCTATGTCGCCTTTCATGTGTGTGAGGACTGGTCGCTGCTCAACAGGAGATGAAAAATCCAACTATCAGACATTAGCAAAAATAATCCAATTTTTTCAACTCACTTCTAATGTCTGCTGCACCACCTAAGCACCAAGCCCAGGGAATAAAGGCAGAGAATGAGAAGCGCTGCTGACAGCAGATGTAGTGCCTGGAGACTCAGAAGTAGCACTTGTGGAAACCTTTCAGGTAAGAGCAGCAGTTACAATCATACTTTTAAATAAAGACTATCACTGAATGGTTGTGAGCAGCATAAAAGTGGCAGCATCTGCAAAAAAACCCCACCACCATCTTTATCAATGCTCAGCGTTTATTGCATTTACCTATCACTGTATTGGTATGTTCAGGCCTGGAAGGGGAAAAATAAAAATTCTACCAGAAATATAGAACCTAATTCACTCCAGAAATTTTTTTTTGTGAAAAAGCAAATGGCTTCTGACACCTTAGTGGCCAGGCTGGGGCATCTTCACATAACCAGTTACCAACTTGGTTGGTAAAGTCCCTGAAGTTAGAGAAGGGCCCTTGCAGGCCTCATTGGTCTGAGAGAATCGCTACATAAAAGACTGAGCATTGATGCTTATGTAGCAATAAAGGTATATGTAGAATGACATCATCAAATTCAGAAGTACACCTGTGATCAACATGTGGTTTAGAAATAACACCTACTGTAAATAACACGGTCATGAAGAGAAAAAGATCTCTCATTTCCCTAGCCATACTTCAAAGTTTCCTGACTGAATTTCTTTGTCGTAGTTGTCTTCTATAGAGTATTTCCACTTCCTTTTCTTGGGGGGACAGAGGAAGCAAGGGGTAGTGTTCCACAGTTCAGCCACAGAAATGAAAATATTTTATAAGAGAAAAACATAATGATAAAACCATACAAGGTGCTAGGAATCTCAGAACTGCATCTAGTCATAGCTGCTATTTTCTATTTCTGTCTAAATTTTAGTTCACACAGTTCTACTCAAAAGGAATATAAAGGCTTTCATCCTACCAAGTACATGAGGAGAAATTTTATACAAATCCCCCTAAACTCTTGTGAGAGTAGGATAAGTTTACCACTATACAAACATGGAAGATTGAAAGAATGGTCAGGTTCAGAGGACAGATCATTAATCACCTTTTTGGTAGGCAATACAGTGTAAATCATGCTTAAAAGAATCAAAAAAAGTATTTCAGGACAGTTATTTCCAGAAACTCTAGATAAAATAACCATTAATGGTAGTGTGACGATTTGACCCTCATTAGTGATAAAGTGATAAATGAACAACTTTTTTTTTTTTTCCTCTCATGTAACTCCAGAGTTGAAACTTTAACAACTGCATTACATTTCAAATTCAGTGTAACCAGTAAATAAACTAAATTGTTGCAAAATATTAGTCACTCTGTGTGTATGTTCAAGTGCATGTTACACATTAACACTTAACAAATTATTTAGTGAATTCAATTAACTTTTTCGTCAGTGCCTGTCAGGTGTGTGAAATACCAGCGGTTTTCCTAACTTACACATTCCTATGTTTGTCCTTTCTCCAGGGTTTGAAAGACCACCAAGCCAGTTGTCTTTCTTTCGTCCAAGCCATTTGCTATGTTGAAGCTAGGCAGCTGGTGAAAGAGCACAGTTTTCTCTGCTTCAAAAGAATGGGGGTTTTTCACCTTTGTAATCTCAAACTTACACCTGAACTTCCAAAATTCGTAATTACTAATTCAACAAGAGGTTGCAAGGAAAATAAAAATTAGGATGGGTCCCAGTGCTTCTTTTCCCTGCACCTTGTGTCCCAGCTGGTGCGTTTCCCTGTGACCGCGTGCAGTAGAACTAGCCGCCCTGCTTTCCATGAAAAAGGAAGCGGATACTAAATGTGGTTGTTCTCAGACAGAGGAGAACTGGCCACAATACACAGCTGCAACCCAAATACTTTGCAGAAGAATAAATTTTGGTATCAGTTCCTATTATTTAGGTTTTAGTTCAAGTCATCATTCAGACACATCCTTAACGGTAAGCACGTGAATTGTCCCAAGTAGGTTCAACAGCATTGCTCCAGTTCCTCTGGCTGGGCACAAGCCTAGCAAGAATCTGGGATATCTGCTGTGATACCCACTTATTGACAGGTTTTTGAATTCCTCACACAAAAGGATCCTCAAGAAATCCTTATTCAGTGGTGAGCTCAAGGAGACGCTAAGCACACTGCAGATCTCTTTGGGTAGATCCCAATTCCAATCAGCAAACACAGAAACTGTTTAAGTGCTCTGCTGAATCATGGCCTAAACACAACAGGACTTATCATCAAATACTACAGGTTGGTAGATAGATAGATACAGAGATAAAGTAGTTTGCTAACGTTGGGGTGCTTTAGCCTAAAAAGCTTCACAAAGTATGAAGAAAGTAGACAATACATCTCATTTTTTGTCTTCTTATAAATATCCACAGTACCAGAAGTCTGAAAGTGTATTCTTAGGTGGACTGTTTAAAAAAAAAAAAAAAAGTATTTTGGTTTGTTTCCGAAGACAGTTTTATTATGGAGTGAGGAATATATCAAAGCCCTGAATAATAACAAATGAAGGGGAGAAATCCTCATTTTATCCACTACCCTTTTTCAGAGAAGCAGCTCAGAGAGCTGCCTAGTGCTCTGCTGTTTTATATACTTACCTTCACCCTTCCAGCTGGTAAGCCTGAAGCTTACCAAGGCTGATGTCCTAGTGGGATGGGTTAGATCAACAACAGTCAGCCTTCTTTTTCCCTAAATGGTTAGCAACGAAAATCAAACCATCTTCTTCTCTCAAATGTGATAGCTACCTAAGGGCTCTCAATCTATGGCTAACAGGAGGAAGCACAGATTGTACAATGAATAAATTGCTCTAATCATTTAACTGCCTTTCTCAGAGGTTAATCAATTCTTTTACTGAAAAGCTAATTTGTGAATAAGGATGAGATGAGCATGGGGAGAGGGTGCAGTTAAAATTTTCAGCAACACCTGTAACGGAGTTCCCTTTTCCAGTGCACAAACATTCTTCATTTTAACATTAACGTAAGTATTTTTAAATTATTATTTCTAATGCATTTGAGGTGATGTATGCAACCAGTGCAGTTCTGTCAGTGCCAGCGGACCGCATACTTACTTGGGAATTTCCTCAGCATGAAAAAGCCTAAAAGGGAAAGCTGCGGTAGCCAGACAGACCCACGGAGTGGAATGTGCCGGGGTGAGGATAATGAAGTGCTAGCAAGCCAGCATCACCGCACCGTTGTGACAAATAAGCAATAGCAGATCCTGATCTCAGTTTACCTTTACATGCCAGGCTAAAAGATGCCGGTACAGGCACAGATTTATGTGCACGCCACATGTCCCTGATTAGCAGTTCTCTGCGAGGGCCAGGGGAGGCAGCTGGGGCTGGTAACAGCTTCACTCATTCAATTTTAATTGACTCCTGTGTGTTTGTCAGATCCCTCAGAGCTGCCTTCCTTCTGTTTTAACTTGTGCCAAAAGCTGAACCGGTCCCATTAACCAGAGGGAACAAGCAAGCAAGAACTACCGATCAGCTACAGGTACAGAACAAAGTCTATGCTGCTGTTTGAATTACCTTTTAGATACAATCTGCACTGAATTTTAAGATCATAGACCAACGATCACAGTTCAAGCTGCAAACCCAGTGAAATTAAACTCTATTCACAAAATTATACATCAAAGCAGGCTTTGATTCAGAATCCTTTTGCTCAATTTTCATCTTCTGTGTTTGTATTTAGCGTCCAAACATGACTCTGAAAATCCTAAGGAAATGCCCATATGCTTCAGTGGGATCAAGACTATACCACTAGCTGTTTACTGAACAACTACTGATACAGTGTTTAAATGGTATGCAAACAATCAAAATATTCAAAGCTAAACACAAAAAGTGACAATAATAGTTTATGATTTTTTTTTTTTTTTACTTTCTCTAATGGAAACAAATGACTGCAGTGAAAGCTTGAGTAAAATAGGTCCAGACATATACACATGATTTCTTCTGTATCTCTTTTGAAAGTACATATAAATAATTGGTGATGATAAATGGCAGGCAGCATCACTGTTGAAAAAAGGGTTTTTAAAACTTACCTCTGCTTTTATTTTATTGTCTCCAAAGCAGAGGTGTTGTAAGTAGGCTGCAGCATTGGACTGTACGGAGGGAAATTGATGCTGTAACATCTGTATAACTTCTGGAAGCTCCGGATCTCGCCATCCAAACTCTCTGTGCGAAAACAAACAAGAAAGATTCATCAAAAATTCTGCTATTAGTGGATAAATCTGGCCAACAAATATGAAAGACATGTCTAAGTAAGATCTTAATTTTTTCCCCCATTATTTTCAAAGCAAACATTAAATCAAATATGAAGTTATTTTTCACTTTAAACTGTAGTTCTCTGCAAAAAAAAAAAAAGTTTATATAAAGTATAATTAGAGTAAATAACTTAATGGAATGAGGTCACTAACTACTAAAGTTTCCTAAGTAAAAATGGCTCTTTGAAATCTTAATATAAGAAAGGAAAGAAGATACATGCTCATACTATTATACTTTCTCTATTAAAATTAAAATGTGGAGGCTAGAATCAGAACCACAAATAGTTCGCTAGGAAAGTTTGTCAGAAAGCCCTTTTTAATTACTACAATCTTTATTTGATATCAATTGCTATATAGAAACCAATCACCTATTTTGTCTTTTGATTTATTTTTTCCAGACACGGTCCATGCTCAGTGTAATACTCTTACACAGTTCTGACCCTGCTTGAGCAGAGGGTTGGCCCAGACGATCTCCAGAGGTCCCTTCCAACCTCAGGCCTTCTGTGATTCTGTAATTTTACAATTACACGATACACACTTACACATCAGACTACTTTTAAATCTTCATTCATACTACTCAATCTAAAGCAGGTAGGCAAATACAAAGACTTGGTCTTTGCCCTTTTCTTTAATCCAACAAAGCGTGAAACACCGTTAGCACCAAATGAAACAACTGCATCCAAGTGTGTTGAACAAATCTCAGCATGTGTTCTGCAGCTTCCAGAACTGAACTAAATCAATTTGTTACTTCCGGTAGATTTTTCCCCTTTGTGTTTAAGGGTAAAATTAATCATGAAGATGGCTCTGGACTTTCTGCCCCAAGAGCCAGACATGCACACAGCCACTCTGCACGAGATACTTAATTCTCACATGCCTTTTCCCTAAGAGCTAATTCTTTGTGCCACATAAATATTTTCGCCATCTTCCATCTAATGCTACATGTAGAAGGTAATAGAGGGAAATTAGGGGGCAGACGTGACTTGTGAAAAAGGCTGTAGGTTCTCTGCTGCAGTTACCTTGATCACCTGGGAGTTCACTGCCAAAAAAACCCACAAGAGCTGTTGCAGAGTCCAGCTATAACGTTTGAAAAAATATTCCTGATCATTAGTTTCCTTCCCAAATTATGGGGATTCTGCTTCACTGAGGCCAAGTGTGCGTACATCACTAAGGAGAATTCACCTGTGTTTGAGTAATGCTTACAGTAGCTTTGCAGATTATCTCAAGCAAAATCAAGCATCACACTTTAAGTACAACAGTTCTCCAAGACATTTCATTGAAACGAGACTCATTTTACAATAATAATGAATTACTACAGAACAGAGGTATTGTCTGTTCTCTTCACATACAGGATGATTGCCAGATTGAGAGTTGCCATTACAGTTGTATCTTTATGAAGATCCAGAATATAAATAGGAGATGTAAAAAAACACACTCAGAATTTCATCGGCTATTTCTCTTCTGACAAAACAGATGTTCACTCATGAATATTAAATTTCACATTAAGTGTTTAATATAAAGAAACCATGAAGATGTAATAATATATCACATACAGACTATTCCAATGAATCTTATAGACTGTTGGGAAGCTTCTATAAGAGACCTGTTGCATATGTTCAGAAAGATCTTAGCGTTGAATTGGTATTTTGAAGTCAGACAATACTGTAATACAGACAATACTGTATCAGGAGAGGCTAGAAACTTTGGCAGCTGAAGATGGCAAACACCGCATCTTCTGTGTATACCAGCTTACTAGGGGTCTGTTAACAGGTGAAAAGGAAGCGATTCTTTGGTTAAGCACTTATTTCTGTTTAAGAAAAGGTTGTACAGACCCATAAACAAATCATAAGTTGACAGAGATGACAGAAACAATGTGAGTTGATGTGTTAGCTTCCTCTTGCACTTGCTTTCTTACAGCTAACCGCATTAACAAGTTAACAGGTTCTTCAAACACATTAGACCTGCCTCCTATACGCATGGTGCTCAGCCAACCAAAGACATCTTCCAGAAAATAATTTTGAATAAAATTAAAAAATAATAAAACCCCCACTAACCTTACTGAGGACAAATTAATTATCCTAGCTCCACTCCTAATTTATTCTCATTTTCAATCCTAGATGCTGAGTGCAGGTGTTGGTATTTTGGAGAGGATACAAAATACCAGAAGAAAACAGCTTGTATGACAACAAGGGGGAAACATTTGAAATTAGTTGTTTTACACCAAAGAACTATACTTCAAAAGCATTGGAATGTCTATCACCAAATTCTCTCCCAAAGGAAATTTCCTCCTCCATAATATGTGTATTCCTTGAACAGAAAACAAACAAAAAGCCTGTTAGGTACAGCAGTACACCAAGGAGCCTGACAACCAGCTCAGGTTCTTCCTCTTGTCCTGGGATCCAGGCCAGAAGAGGCAATGAGAGGGTAAAAGGAAAAGGACCCTTCATCAAAGGTACAGTTAATTGTTCTGATGAACCTGCAGTCTTGACGTGGTATTTACATATGAAAACAAGGCTGTGCCTACTTTTCCCCCCCCGATCTCCCAGAAGAAAAGTTAGCAAATAAGAGATGACTGACTACTTGTTGGAAATGGTTGTGTGCACATTGGACAGAAGTAGAAAATTAATTCAGAGAAGAAGCTCTTAGCACTGAATACTGAGTTTGTCATGTAACCAGTTTTAGGAGAGATAATGAACAAAGCAGGAAAAAAAGTTTAAAAATTTAGCCCCAGTATGCACTGTCATTGCAAGCAGATGGTCTCTAAGATGATTATATTTTTAGTAGTTTCTAAATGAAATACGGTAGCTATACAAAACAAACAAAAACTTCTGTCAACAGTTAAAGCTGTTTGAATAATTGCAATAATTTTAGCAGCCTTCAGGGCAAGAAGGACTAGTTTCCAGGGGTTTTAATTTTTCATTTGTTTTATACAAGTCTCTTATAGGTGGAAAAAAAGTGAGCTAGAGAAAGGATTTTTTTTTTTTTTTTTTAAGAACAACAAGCTTGCGGCTCTACTAAAATTTACTTGAAAAATTTAAATATTGATTTTTTTTTTTAATTTGGCTTAATTGTGAAAAGTTAGGAAGGCTACTTAAAGAAGTCAACTGGCAGAGGTCTTGAGAAGGGAGGAGGACTGGAATTTCTTGAAGACAAAGGTACAAAACTATCTGGAACATTTTGCATAAATGTGGGGGAACTTGCAGGCCATGGCTCCAAGCATACATATATGACAAAAAATACATATTAAAATAGAGAGCCAAACAAAAAGTCAAAGAAAAAAAGCTACTAGGGAAGCAAAGTATGTTGTAGAAGTCAACAGTTGGAATAAACTGGGTTGCACCAAGAAAGGTAATTGAAATTACATAGCAAAGCATCTTTTACTGCCTACCAACAAAAAGCAGTAGTAGGGTCAGTACTTGATGAAGAGAAGAGTCAGATTAAAGGAAGGGAGAAGGATAATGAAAATCAAATCCAATTCCATTTCTGTGAACCATCTGATACTGTGCCACATAGAAATTAGTTAAACTGGCAACATATGAGGATCCAATACCTAGTAAAATTATAAAGTAGAATTAAGCAAAATTTGAAACTGTAGTGAATATCCTAAACAAACACTAGCTAAGCCTGTGTCCTTTATTAACATCCCCATGCTTAGAAAATCTGAGCAAGGCGATCCACACAGATGGCGGAACAAGCCAGAAGGCTGGAGTAAATCTGAGGAGGCGCGTAGCATGCAATTTTTGGGAATGCTATCAAAGAGTATCTGTGGAGTTGATCCAAAAATGACGAGTAAGCTAGCATCTGTACATTTGAGATCTTCTGCTACTGCCTCCGTTTCCCTTGGAATACCAACACTAAGCTGTTCAGGTCAGCTAAAGGCTTCTGGTGGTGGCGTGGGTTTTTCCACAAGAGAATCACAGCTGTGCAAGTACTTCACAGCTTTGACTGGAAAGCAGCATTCACCACGCACTCCAACTATTTCAGGAGGTTGTAGAAGTGCATTATTTCTAGGAAGTGTCCTCACCTGAAGAGACTGACCAAAGGATGCCAAGGTGTTCCACCTTCTTTCTTTGATGGGAACTGCTCTAGGAATGTAGGATTGATCTCATTTTGAATTCTGCAGAAGGTTTTAGCTTGAAGTGGTGACTAAGGCAGATGTTCCATGGATTACAGCAGGCTTCTGTTCCAGGGGTGAAAGAGGACCCAAAGGGGAATGCTAAGTTATATGTAAGCTGGCAATATGTATGCCTCAACTACTACAATAGGCTACATTTTATCTGTGAAGAACTGAAGAGATTCAACAAGGAGCTGGACACGAGACACAAAAACTCTGAGCAGCAGAAGCAGTAGCACCACAAAATCCAGGCTGACTCAGGTACAGCAAG